GCCTCTGAAGACCCTTCACCCTCTCTTAGAAGATGGTTGCATTGATGATGATCCACTTCCTCACAAAAAGGTTGGCTTTGTTGGGATATCTAACTGGGCTCTAGATCCAGCTAAGATGAATCGAGGCATCTTTGTATCCCGTGGAGACCTGAATAAAAATGAACTCATAGAAAGTGCAAAAGGTATTTGCTCTTCAGAATGTTTTGTGCTACAAAGAGTTGAGCGTTTTTTTCCTATCTTTGCAAACGCATATGAAGAAATTTGTAAGAAACAAATTAAGGAATTTTTTGGATTGCGTGACTATTACAGTCTTGTAAAAATGCTTTTTGCTTTGACAAATAATTCTAAAAGCATTCCAGGTCCCCGTAAAATAGCAGAGGTAGTTCTCCGAAATTTCAGTGGCAAAGAAGGTGTTGAAGTCTTGGATACCTTTATGTCTAAGGTTCCGGAAGGTGGAGATGAAAATTATAAGGATATCAGTACAATTGATTTAGTTGAGCAGAACATTTATAGCGATTACCAGGATGGTGAATGCCGATATCTGTTAGTATTAACAGAAAATTATGCAGCGCTACAGATTCTCCAACAGTGTTTCTTCAGAGATGTTCAACCAGAAATTATTTTTGGTTCCAGCTTTCCCAAAGATCAAGAATACACTCAGATTTGCAGGAACATAAACCGAGTAAAAATTTGCATGGAGACTGGGAAGATGGTTGTTCTTCTCAACCTACAAAACCTTTATGAGAGCCTCTACGATGCCCTCAATCAGTATTATGTCCAACTTGCTGGTCAAAAATATGTTGACTTAGGTTTGGGGACCCATCGAGTGAAATGCAGAGTGCATCCCAAATTTCGACTGATTGTCATCGAGGAGAAAGAGGTGGTGTACAAACAGTTTCCCATTCCACTGATTAACCGGCTTGAAAAACACTATCTGGATATTAATACCGTACTGAACAAGTGGCAAAAGAACATTGTGGAAGACCTGAGGAAATGGGTAGATGACTTTGTAACAGTTAAAACTGAGAAATATTTTATGGGTCAACAAACATACACACCTTCTGATGTTTTCATTGGCTACCATTCAGACTCCTGCGCTTCGGTTGTCCTGCAGGTGACAGAAAACCTGAAAGAGTCTCCTCTTCCTCAACAGCTAAGGCAGAAAGTGCAAGAGCAGGCCCAGTTGGTCCTCTTGAACTGTGCCACCCCAGATTCTGTAGTCCGTCTCGGTGACTCTAAACTGGACTTTTTAAGAGAAAACTTGGCTAAGATATACTTTCAGCAACAGCAACACACTTCCTTTGCCGAATTTTTGCATGGATGCCTTCGGTCAGACTCTAGAGGCCATACGGTGTTTATTGAGGTAAACTGCAATTAAACTGTTTCTTCCTGTTTCCCCCCCCGTGCCCCTTTTTCTCATATTCATAAATATGATGAATTCTTAAAACTGTGGCATGATATATGGCAAGAGTTGCTTAAAGACAGTTTTAAAATGCTCCAAATTAGAATACATTTCTATTATCCTTAGGAGTTAGGGCTAGTTACTTTATGGCTGGTTGCTGCATTCCATGGTCATGTGGCCACGTTTTATGATGGATTTGCCAAAATCCGACACTTTTCCACAAAAAATGTGCCCCTAGCAAACCATTGGTTTGCTTAATGACCATGGCATTCACTTAACCATGGATTCGCTTAAAGACTGCCTCAGAAAGCATTGTACAATTTGTTAAGGATCGTCACGACTTATGATCATGATGGGCAGGCTCCATTACAGTTGTAATTTTAGGACTACGTGTACCCAAAGCTTGCTATGGTTTCTTTATATTAGTGAATTGTTATTTTCCAGAAATTTGGATAGCTGCTGTGTTATTGTATGGTTTAGATTTACCCTGAATACTAAATGTTTTGAAATGAAAAATACATGCAGGAAATATTTAGGGTATAGAAATGCACTTTCTTGTCAGAATCCCAAGATTCAAGAAGACTCTAGCTGAGCAAATTGAAATGAGATTTTGTCTTCAGAATGTTTTCCTAGCATGTCCATATGTAGCAGAAATGTTGAGTCTGGAATGTTTGAAGTAGAGCATAGCTTTCTTTGGAACAAACGAAGGACTACTTCAGGACTATTTCTGAGTAATAGAACAAAGGAATTTGCTATACAAATTTAGATAATAAATAAATAAAATTTCTAAACTAAAATGGTTAGAAGTTACCTGATCTTTTTGTAACCAGCTAATTGATGGTGTCACTCAGATCCTTCCCGATTGTATGCCAAGTCCCAAAGCCTATACTGGTAGCCATTGTTAAATGACTGCCTCGTTTAATGATCATTTGCAATTATGATGGTGATGAAAAATATTCACATTTATGATTTTCATAGGTGTGTAAAGCCAATGAAAGCTGAAATAAGCTCATAAGCAAAGTCAAGATTTCACTTAGCAATTGCTTCACTTAACGACCAAATTGCTGTTCCCAATTGTGGTCTCTAAACGAGAGTCACCTGTATGTGTAGGAGAAAGGAAGGGAAGAAAATATTTCCACTTGGATAATAAAAAAACAAGAGACTGCATGACCGTCCTGTGAAAACTTTGTTAATATTTGACAGAAAAACCTGCTGTCTTAACTGTTACAGGTCACAACCTTCTCCAGGCTCCTGACTGCAGCAGACACAGAGATTTTGGCGGCAGAATTGCAGCATGATTCAGACAGCCTGAAAGTTTTGTTCTTGCAACAATTTGACACGGAGTACTCGTTTTTAAAGGATATTCAGTGAGTTTTCATCATCCACAATGGCTGCAAAATAATGCAGATTTGTATGTGTCTTTATACTTCTTTTTTTGAAGTGACATAAAAGTGCTTGTAATAAAATAAATGATTAATAGAATAAATTTCATATTATAAGAGGAGTTTTATAATTGAATTGTAAAATATAAATTGGAGGATTGCAATGAAGTTATGTTACTGTTCAAACTGCTGGAGTGTTTGGTGGAGTGACCTTGTTTTAAATAAAGGTCTGGATGTGAGTGGTCCATTCTTTGTGCAACAAAGTAAAGCTCATTTAAACATTTCTGTATTTTCTCAGGAAATTTTTTGCTGTGAGGACAGATGGGAGTAAAATCCTCATTATTCAGACTGACTTTGAAAATGGATCGCTCAGTGCCCAGCTCATTGCCTCAGCCAGGTAAGTTGCCTGTTAGATAAGACTATTTGATAAGCAATACTGAGCATATAATCAATTAATAGTTGCTGTAAGTTCATAGATTTTTACATGGTCCAATAAATACGGTAGGCCAATATTCTAATTTCATGGAGAATTATCTCCACCTATTCATCATACATCAGAATGAGGTGGGGAAATAAACTTTATCTGTGTTGAAATAATAGGAGCTGTTGGGCAGGTGAATATAAAGACTTTAACTTCACAAAAGAATGATGCCTATTTTTCTTTCCTTGCAGGTATTCAACTGTTAATGAAGTCAACAAAATACAGAAAAATCAAGCCAGGGTGTTTGTAATTTTCATCACTAAACTGTCACGAATTGAAGGAGGAAGTTCCTATATAGGATTTCACGGAGGTAAGTTGGCTTATGTGCAAGAATACAGAACAAGGAGGCTGGAGGTCTATTAAAGGGGCTGCCATGGCATCAGGGTTGCTTCCTGCCTCCTCTCACAAATGATCTCAGCAATGTGACTTACAAATTACTGCAGTATAGAAAGAGATGTGCTTCTAACACAAGGCTACAAATAAGATGAAAATTTTATTATGTCATTTCTGTGCAAGAAAAGTTTTTGCAAATTTTTCTTGTGTATCGTTCATAAATACAGCTGTTTTATTTTCCACATTGTTAGAAAAATATTTTGAGCAGCTCTGTAAATGCATCAAGGTATGAAGCTCGTTTCATTTATATATGTTATTTATTACACAGAGATTCCTTCTATTACTTTCTACAGTACTGATTGTGTTCATTGTCAAGATAGCTCTGAAATAAAGCCAGGGTAATACCCTATCATAAATCAGGATGGGACCCTCAGCCTATAGGTTGCCAAATCCCTTTTTGGTTGTCCACAATGCACCGTCTGAAAAGATCACAAAACCTTGGTGACAAAAATTGCTGAAAATCAGTGACTTGGTTTTTGCCATATTTAATTGGGAAACATGAAAACTATATGCTGTTAAATAAGTTTAATGCAGTTAACTTTACTCCTCCAATTCCGAGTTTCCTGAATTACAAAATAAAAAGTAAATCCCTAAAAAACCCATAAAGGTATGGAGTTCAGGTTGTATAGGGAAACATTCTTGCTTAAATTTAGTCATATTTCTGTTCCGGATATATACTGCTAATTTTACTGTTAGTGTATATTCCTCAAGTTTGGTCAGCCATAAATATTTACATATCCATTATGCTATTCCAGGAGTCGATGGTGTCAGGCAGCAGCCACCCTAGCCTCACCTTGCCCTGTGACAATGGCACCCCCACCCTGCCTCGCCTTGCCTCGCCTCACCCAGCAGGACGAGCCTCCTGCCCACTGCCCCACCTGCCAGAGATCCCCTGGATCTTCCCCAACCCTGCCCGGCCCCCACAGGCATCCCTCCCCACGAGCAACATCGAGGTGATCACACCCACCTTGTCCACATCCACCCAATCTGCCATGATCAGCACAGCCACGCCCACCCAGTGAGCCACGCTCACCTGGCACCCAGCGATAAATAAGTGGGTTTTGGGTTGCAGTTTGGGCACTCAGTCTCTAAAACGTTTGCCATCACTGTGCTATTCCCTTTTGGGATAAATGAAGTTATGCAATATGCAAGAAACAAATAAAAGAAGGCTTAAAGGAAAGCCAACTCAAATAAATTTTTATGGCCTTGTATTTTAAGACAAAATCATACATGAGGTTTAAGAAATATCAGGATTTTGTTGAAGTTACATACTTTGACATGGGAAAATATTATTGGAATATATTTATTTATTTATTTATATCTCCCCTTTATTATTTTTACACATAACTCAGTGAGCACACCCAAAACATCCTTTCCCACCTATTTTTCCCCACAACAACAATCCTGAGGCGAGTTGGGCTGAGAGAGACAGAGTGACTGGCCCAAAGTCATCCAGCTGACTTTCATGCCTAAAGACGGGACTAGAATTCACGGTTTCCCGCTTTCTAACCTGGTGTCTTAACCACTAGACCAAACTGGCTCTCTATATAAAACGTATCTCTTAATTTTGGAGAGGTCTTCTACTTCATGTTGCTATAAATGCAAAATCTATTTTTCCATATTTTTTTCTTAATAGAAATATAAAGGTATACAAGTTGTCCTCAACCTATGACCACAATTGAACCCAGAATTTATGTCGCTAAGTGAGAAATTTGTTAAGTGAGTTGTCCCCATTTTACGACTTTTCTTACCACATCTGTTAAGTGAATGACTGCAGCTGTTAATTTAGTAACAGGGTTGTTAAGTGAATCTGGCATCCCCATTGACTTTGCTTGTCAAAACGTCGCAAAATATGATCACATGACCCTGGGACACTGCAACTGTCATAAATACATGCCAGTTGCCAAGCATCTGAATATAAATCACATGACCATGGGGATGCTGCAACGGTCATAGCTGTGAAAAATGGTCATGTTATTTTTTTCAGTGCTGTTGTAACTTTGAATGGTCACTAAATGAACTGTTGTAAGTCGAGGACTACCTGAAATAAAAATAGTATACACCTTCAGACTTTTGCAATATTGTTTCCCCTGACTTCTCCATGATTTCTTTGGAGGCTAACATATTTGTTTGTTTCCCATAATCCTGTCCTTAGGCCCCCCTCATCTTCTCTGAGACATATGATTGGCCAAACTGAAAGGTCGTATTTAACTTCAATTTTATACACAGTATTCACATATTAATTGAATTAAGGCCCTTGCTGTTACATGGTAAAAGATACATTGTTGTATTATCCCACCCTTCCCTGCGTTAAGGTTAAGTAGTTTTCCTCCAAAACGAATAATGGGAATACAGGTAATAGCTGTGACATCTCACCTGTTGTTTTCAGGGCTGTGGCAGTCTGTGCATATTGATGATCTAAGAACCTGCAAGGACATGGTCTCGGATATAACATCCCTCCGAAGCATCGCCGTCAGCCAGCTGTTTTCTGAAAATCTGGGAGAGTCTGCGGAGAATCCTGAAAGTAAGAAGTTCCAACTACATGTTTATGTAGTGCTTAATTCCAGCAGTTTGTAGTAATTCCCATTATCGTTTTTAGAGTCAAGTAGCATTCCTGTACGAGACTTTCTTTATCTTTGTAGAGGAAGAAGAAGAAATAGAGCAGGAGATGGAAGTGGAGGCATCACCAATATCCAAATCAGAAATACTTGTAAGTCTTAATGTGCCTCACTCATTCAGTTTGATTGTTTCCCTTCGATCTCGGGGCCAATGATGTTCTTCTTTATAACAACCTGCTTTTTTTGTTCAGTGAAATTGGTTATAGAAATAACATGACATGTTTTTCACATATTTGTATCTAGATACTTATGATTAGCTATCTGTTCTAGCCTTGGGATGATTCACACATTGCCCTATTAGAGTAACATGCATAAACATCAGATATAATTCTTATTTGTGATCACTCCATAGGGATCACTATTTGTGAACTTTATGAGAGCTCCATTAGCTACTGTTTCAGAAGATTATATAGATGGGCAATAACGTATGCCCTTTCAGTTATGCAAAGGGGTTCTTTCGTATCTGTTTTCTCTAGAAATTGAACTTTCTATACCTGGCTGCCTACCTCCCTAGTTCCTAGTGCTGCATTGTTTTTATTTTACTAAGGTGTTTATCCAGGCAAGATCTTTTTCTTTTTCGGTACCTGGGTGATTGTTTCTCCTTTGTGCTCCCAGGCATTTGGGTGAACCCAGAAGTGGGCATCTTAGAGCACCAGAGCCTTATCTGGCCCTCAAACTCTGGTTTTTTGTGTGAAAAAGTTGGTGAAAAAAAGGCTGACGTAATTTCCTCCTGTTGTATAGTGGAAAAGTAAAAGTAGTGCTATGTAAAACAATTGAAACGATTGTTCTGATCCCAGTAGTTGTGATAAAATGTTGGTCTGACCATAAGAGAAATGTCGTGGACACCAAATGGCCCTGTTTCAAGCTTGGAATACCCTTTTTCAACTTGAAAAGGCTGTTTTGCACTTAGAACTTTTCCGCTGATAAAAAGCACTGTTCTGGCAAATTTCAAATTTGGAGGTATTTCAGATTTTTTGCACTGTTAGTGGGAAAAAAACTTGACATGTAAGCCCTAGTAAAATACAGCATAATGAAAACAATAAACCAAATACCAAGGAAAATTTCTAGGAATCCTCCCCCAGGGAAGGGAAACATAATGGCCCTGGACACTTTTGTTATTATCTCATATTTTTCAAATGTGACGCTCAATTCAAGTAGGAAAAGGCTGTCCAGTTCAGTTTAATCAGATGCTCATTCACATATCAAGGAATCTGATAACCATAGAGGAAATTATTGTACATGTTTCAGGATATACTAAAAGTTTTTAAGATGAGATGAGATAAAATAACCTTTATTGTCATTTTTTTACTGTGGGCACAATGGCACACATAAAAAATGAAACTAATAAGTTTTTCTTCTTCTTCTGTGTCTGGAAAGTCTCAGGCGTTGGATACTACCGTTCTTTTGAGGAGTTGTGTTCAAAGTGCTGTCGGCATGCTAAGAGACCAAAATGAGGAAGCTGGTCGTAGCGCTAAGAGAATTGAAATTCTTCTTAGCCTCCTATCTGAGGAAGGTATATAATACAAATATGTCCAGAAGGAGCATGGTCTTTTG